CCTATAACAATAAAAACAAAATAGAAAATTTTCTGTGTAAATTACCTCAAGAGAAGGATTGAGAGAGATGGCGGAGGAGAGTTTAGGGTAAGAGAGAATTCTCGAGCAGATGGAATTCCAGGAGCGATTAACGCAGGCGGCGGAGGAGAAGGACGTAGCCGGAAGCCGGGAGATGATGTTGTGGAGAAGGTCTGTTCCGATAGCATCGTCGATACTGCTTCCGCCGGCGCCAGCGGCGGTGCTGCTGCCTCCACGGTGGTGTTGTAGATGTTGAGTGGCCATTTAGGATTTTGGAAATGGCTGTAAATTTTTGAATTTTAGTTTATATATATATATATATTTATAGTAGTAGTGAACTGAAATTAACTTCAAAATAATTGATCTCCTCTGCCAACGACTTTTGAAGTATTCATTATTAATAGCGCTGCAAATGGGCAGACTCGTGACTCCCGTTTGGACCTCCATTTGTGCTTGACTTAAATTTGTCCAAATCCAATTGGCGGATGTGAACCACTGGGCCAATGGCTCAGTGGCAGGGAGGGACTTAAGTCACTCCTTGGGCTGTAGGTTGAGGGTTCAAACCTCACCTGCAGCGAAAAAAATCTAAGAGTTGTGTCATAGCACTCCCTTGCTCTAGTTGGGTCTGTATACCCACTAGCCCCCACCACAGCCTCCTTAGGCTCCCCTCCCCTAGATTAGGATAGTGTAGGTTATACAAATGTATCGTTGCGTAAAAAAAAAAAATTGGCGGATGAACTTAGTCCACCACTTAAATACATACATACATATATGAATTAATCTTATATACACTAACAGTGTATATATTTTCATTTTTGAATATATATGTATGAAACACAATCTAAATTTTAATTTGAAAATCAAATTTTATATATATCTCGTGCATCCAACCATAATAATATATGCATTATTAATACATTAAAAAAATTTACTCTACAAATATATACATACATATATATGTATAATATATGTATGCATGTATAATGTTCTTATAAAAGTTCTATTATGGACCATAGTTGTCGTCCCCACGGGTTTAGCCACATGATAGCAGGCTAGCAGCGTTCCCTTGGGACCTTCAGGTCCCGGGTTCGAAACTGTGCTATGGGGACGCCTGTGCACTTATCGTGTATATATTTTAATTTTTGAATGTATATGTATGAAACACAATCTAAATTTTAATTTGAAAATCAAATTTTATATATGTCTCGTGCATCCAATCGTAATAATGTATGCACTATTAATACATTAAAAAAAATTTACTCTACAAATATATACATACATATATATGTATAATATATGTATGCATGTATAATGTTCTTATAAAAGTTCTATTGTGGACCATAGTTGTCATCCCCACAGGTTTAGCCACATGATAGCAGCGTTCCCTTGAAACCTTCAGGTCCCGGGTTCAAAACTGCGCTATAGGGACGCCTGTGTACTTATCGTGCCTTGATCGGGTTGGGGCGCCGAACTCAGATCGCAGGGGATTAATCGAGTCCCATAAGAATTGACCCGAACACCCCTGTGCCGACAAAAAAAAAAAAGAAAGAAAGACCATAGTTGTCAGCGTGACAATTCAAACTCAATTGTCTATATAATGATGTAAAGTAATATACAGTCTACACGAGAATGTCTTTAGGGTTAATTCCATTTTATCCCCTCAAATGTACACTGAAATTTCACTTCAGTTCTTAAGTTTCAAAATGGAACATTTAAACTCCTAAATTATAAAATTCGTCTCACTTTACTCTGGTTTTTGACTGAATGCATAATACCTAGCAGAATGGTTGCCAATTCCGTTAGCTTATTACTGCAATAATGTAAACCAAATCTAATAGGGATATAAATGAAATTTCATGAGATCCAAAAGAAAAACCTTAAAAATTTGTAATTAAGCAAAATATTTCTTTACTTCTCCTTTTTTTTCCTTTTTATTTCTTCTGTCCTCTTACTCGTTTCGTTTCCTACTTCCCCAGAAGCACGTCATCAAAAGTTAAAGAAACTCGTGTTCTTCTTTCCTGGGAGCACAGCACTAGATTCTTCTTCAGATTTTTCTCAACGGTCATAGCGTAGATGGGGCTATTCCCTTCTCCGCGATCTTCCCAAACCATGAAAGCCATTAGATGCTGCCATCACTATTGCTAACCATGGTTGTGTCCAACTAGATTCCATCACTATTGCTAACTATGGTTAGCGGGTGGAGCCATGGACGGAATTTTACAAAAAAATAGTCGCAATTCTCAGTTGGAATTAAGTTCTTGCTAGTCCGCTACTTCCACTTCTACTTCCATACTCCACCTCATAATCTAGACTACTCCCATCTTAAGATCTTTGGATAATAATAATATAGACTACTCCTAGTTGTTTAGCAATACAGTACACGAAAGAACTATTAATACTAGTATGATATTGATGGCCAGAGTGGTGGCGTTGTAGGAGGAGTGCACGGTATTGGTGGAAAAGTTGAGGACGGAGATATTGGCCGGAAAAGTTGGGGGAGGATAAAAGAAAGGAAAAAGGAAGACAAAAATACAGATAAATTTTGAAGATGCTAAAAAGTTGCTAGTGGTGTGATTGGTAACAATGGAGTATGATTTTGGGTGAGAGGGAGAAACGGTTGTAAGAGAAAAAGAGAGAAGAGTATGAAATAAGAAGGGAGAAAGAGATGAAATCAGAAAATTGATGGAAATTGTTCTTTAAAATTAGGAAATGACAAGTAAAATAATAAGAAGTATTTTCATCTTTAAATATCCCGTTATGAATTAACTATTAAGAGAAGGACATTTTAGTCATTTGATTGGATCAAGGGAGGTCTATGTAATTATTGAAACCTTAGGGGAGTTGAGTGAAATTGTTAAAAACCTCAAGGGAGGTTTATGAAATTATCCCTTAAGAATTCAAGTATTCTATTTTAAAGTTTAGGGATTAAAGTGAGATTTTGCATATAATTATTAAAGGGGATAAAGTAGAATTAACCTTATATATTATACGAGTTCAACACAATTTTAATGATTTTGAGTAGATCATTATTATTCTTGAGTTTAATTTGAACATTCATAAAGCTACTTGAATTCAGCTTGAGTTGAGCAATTGCCCCGGGCGGAATCCTTTGTCAATAAGGAAGTCTTTGCGTGGTGGAATCCTTTGTCAAGGGAAAAGGGTATTTGCAATTTCAGTCCACGAAGGATTTCATACGTTTGAATCTAGTGTTATTACTGTTTCTTTCATATGGTCGTTTCTTTTACTAGTATAATTTTTGTTTTCTTTGTCAAAGAAATGGGTCGAACACGGACTATACATACTTCACGAAGACCAGAAGTTAACTGATTATATGTAATATTGTGATTTTGGTAGGCTTGGAAAGGTATGATTTTCAAAATGCAATATGGCCTGGATGATGAATCTCTTGGTAGGATATTGTTGCGAAAGTTTCTTTGATAATTACTTTGAGGTTCAACAACATTGGAATCAATATGTCTGACCTTTAAATATTTTATGATCCAAATTCAAGAGAACAATAGTTTTCTATAATTATTTAAATGCTTTACTGAAATTTGTTTTACCTGAAAGAAATGCTTCACTAAAAGTCTAAAACGTCGAAGTTCATATGACTGAAGTCTCACGTCCCATATTGACCTTTAAATATTTTATGATCCAAATTAAAGAGAACAGTAGTTTTCTATAATTATTTAAATGCTTTAGTGAAATTTATTTTACCTGAAAGAAATGCTTCACTAAAAGTCTAAAACGTCTAAGTTCAACTGAAGAATGAAGACTAAAGTCTCATGTCTCATTTATGAGCAAACATGAGAAAAGAATTTCGTAGTCCAAAGAGTCAATAACGAATTATAGCATTGTAGCACTTTTAATAGTATGATATACGTAAGATAAAAGGATAGTTAAAAGTTATATTTGTGAAGTTAAACAATATTTATTTATTTTTGCAAATATTGTAGCCTAATGGAATTATAGTATTATAGCACTTTTAATGGTATGATATACGTGAGATAAAAAGATGATTAAAAGTTATATTTATGAAATTAAATAATTTTTTTTTGGCAAATATTGTAGCCTAATGGACTCATTGGTTTTTAGTTGAAACCTGTCCCTTTTTTTTTGTTGACTGGATAATTTTTATTCTATACCTATTCCTACTTTACATTACGGCGATTGGGTGGATCCAAAACGATCAATGGAGCACTCAGAGGAGACTGAACTATCACAGGATCAGATAGGTGCCTATGCATCGGTTGATGAATTTTTGAAGAAATCTTGGAGAAGAATGAAAATCAAGAAATTTGATCTCTTGACCAACAACCAAGAAGAGTTGTAAGCCTATCTTTGGTGGCCAAATATTCTAGTAGTAGTTGATTCAGTTGAAATCCGGTCCAACTTAAAAATAAATATCTCGTGTTCTCCTGTATCGAAGAAAAATGGTATGGATTGGTCATCTCTCCCTACTTTGCTTGAAAGAAAGTGACGAAAATAAAAATTTTTGTACAAGTACTTAATTTAACAGCTTTAGTAAGTTTTACCGAGTCAATAGTCAGTACCAAGTTCAATTGTTGACAACTCTAGTTGTTAGAATTGTATGACATTTTTGTTAAAAACTTCAATGGCAGAGCAGGAGAATTAGAGAGGAGAAAATTTATAATACGACCTAATATTGGATATTGCAGTTTAATTTAAAAATTTGGAAAGAGGATGACAAATTTACTCAACACTGATGAAAATTTCATAAAATATACTCCTATAAATTAGGCAAAGTGCCTTGTACTTGGCTGGCTCCTTCCCTGCCCAAAACTTTCTTGATTCCTTGTTATACAAATATTCGATGGGCACGCACATCTCACGGATCTAGAATTAATACAAATACGTTGTTTCATTTGTATTAAGTATCCACTTTTATATAAAAGCCTTTAACAATAAGATCATCATTCAGATTTTACTGTCATGATTTGTTTATGAACCCAAAGCATCGGTGGCTAACAAACCACTGGATTAAGCAATTTCGCAGAGATAACAAAAAATGATTACTTGAAGAGGAAAAGTAACAAGAGTTCTAAGTTCTCTCTATCAAATGTCTAGCTAAAAAAGGGTAGGAAATCTTACAAATTTGGTCTCTAGACATACTTTTACTCCCTGTAAAAGATGAAGAAAACGCACCATCAGGACTTGTCACATTCTGATACGCCAAAAGTATGAAATGCCATCTTTTAAGAAGTGTTAATTCTTCACAAAATATGCACACATCTACTGAAAAGAACGTTTTCCCTCCTCTTCCTTGGACCTTTGTGCAATTCAAGACTTCTTGCATCTACATTTCTCACTCCTCCAAATTGATTGTTTATCCAATTTATTGTCTCTACTGTCACAAACATCCAACTCTTTCACCAAGTCCATCAGTCCAGTTTGCCTAAAATCAGCTGCGCACCTTGATAGGTCTCCTGTATCAGCTTCCATGCTCGGATGTTTTCCCTCTCTTTTTCTTCATCCATATCACACTCTACAAGCCTGCTACTAGCCATTTTCAGTTCAGCAAATCAGCAAAAGAAATAAAAAGTTTAGGTAATTGATTTACTAAATACATATCAAGAAAGCAGATCAGAAATTATTAAAACTGCCCTAAGGACGTACAAGCTAAATTATTACCTTCCTTTCTGCATTCTGACCAGCAGATAACGAAAAACTTATGTTTGAGAAACCAAGGGAGAACCAACTATTTCTGAAACATCCATCAGAGCTAATGCTCTCTAATGAGCTAAATTAACACCATTGATAACTGCCTTCATCTTCAAGCCCTGTCTGGTCAATGAAAATAACTTCTGTCCCTTGGCATTCTAGTAAGAAATGCAACGGCAATCAGTGGTGTCATTTGTCCAATAACATGAGGTCTGCTTCCTAAGACTCTGGAATAAACATCATAATATTACATTTCAGAACAGCTTCAATCATGACAAACTACGAAAGCAAAGCAAAGGTATGGACTGGTAACTAGTGCAAGAAAATTGAAAACCAGATTCTTTCACAATCACAACACATGTTAAGCACCAGATAAACATAAAAATCTTCAAGAGCAAAAGATAAGCTATGTGGCACAGGGTAAACAGTCAACAACAAATAAAAGTGCAGAAAAACACCCTGTTTTCATGCCAATTAGATGACTTGAGCATATTAGAATGCAAACTTAGAGTTCTTGGGGAGAGAAGTGCTGCATTATCACTTTTGTGCACCACATACCTCCTGAGCTCTTCTTCTTCAGCAGCAATGGAGAACAACATGAAGCTGATGTTTGAGTTTGCATTGCTCATCTGCAAGGTTGCAATACAGTAATCCAGCTCACTGAACAGAAAATCAAGGCAATTGTGTCGTATAAACTTTTCAAACTTGTGAAAGATGATAAACAATTATCCAACATTTTTGTCATTGAAAAGAAAACAACATTATTCTCATTGATATGAAGCATGCAGTATCAATTATAAGGGGTGAATGTTCACAGCACTCTAGTTCCTCCACATACATATTTGAAGTTCAATTAGACTGATCTAATTTTATGGCAATAAGTACACAGAGTCCCAAAGAACAGCAAATTGTATCATGAATTTTGTTTGAAAATCGTTTCTCGATTAGCTTTAATGTTATCCATTGAGACTGGCAATATCAGTGATGGAAAAATGAAGAATGTGTCCATCTACATCTAGCATTGTAAATCACATGAAACATTTTGTAGCACATTCAAACAAAGAGGTTAATTGGGTATGAACCGTAGCTAATAATTTTGTCCTTGGCCAGATAGAATGCAACAAGTTGAAGTTAAAGAGATTTAAGATGTTCAAATCTTTCAGTAGTTCAGAGAGGCAGAGAAAACACAGAATTTTGGTCTCTTTCAATTTGTTCAGCAATCAGCATGCTACACCAAAGGGAAAAAAAGTTTTGGTAATTGATTTATGAAATACAAATCAAGAATGCGGATAAAAAACTATCAAAACGGCCCTGAAGATGAACAAGCTAAATTATTACCTTTCTTTCTGCAGCCCGAGCAGGAGATGAGTAAAAGCTTATGTTTGGGAAACCTGGGGAGAACCACCTACTGGTGAAGCCTCCATCAAAGCTAGCGCTCTCTGATGTGTAAAATTCTCATCATTGATTACTAACTTCATCTTCAAACCTGTCTAGTCAGTGAAAATAACTTCTGCCCCCTGGCAATCTTGTAAGAAATGCAACAGCAAAGGGTGGTGTCTTTGTCCAGCAACATGAGGTCCGCTTTCTAAGACTCTGGAAAATACCATCATAATGTTACATTTCAGCATGAATTCAGTTATGACAGCTAAGGAACGCAAAGAAAAGGTATGGTCTAGTATTCAGTACAAGAAAATGGAAAAAACCAGCTTCTTTCACAATCAAATGACGTGTTAAGCACCTAGTAAATGTACAATCTTAAAGATTAAGAACTAAGCTATATAGCATAGGACAAATGTTCAAAAGTACATGAAAGTGCAGAAAAACACCCTATTTTCACTCAAGCATACTTTGATAAAAAATTGCTCCAATTCCCTTGTGTTTTTTAATAAATTGGGCGGAGGTTGAAAAGAGTTCTTGGCGAGAGAAGCTGATGCTTGAGAACCATCATACCTCTCCTGGTTTCTCCTTCTTCAGCAACGATGGGAAACAACATGAAACTGATATTTGAGCACCATTATTGCTTTCTTATTCGCTGTCACTGCTTGTCTACAAGGTAACAATATAGTAATTCAGCTCACAGAACAAAAAAACAAGGTAGTTGTGATGAAGAAACTTCTCAAACTTATGAAAGATGATAAACAATGATCCCATATTATTGTCATTCTTATGAAGCATGCATCACCGATTGTAAGGGGTGAAGTTTTGCAGCACTCTAGTTCCTCAACAAACATATCTGAACTTCAAGGAGACTGATATAATTTTATGGCAATAAGAACACAGAGTCCCAAAGAATAGCAAATTGCATCTTGAATTTTCTTCACAATTGTTTCTTGATTAGCTTTAATGTTGTCCATTCAGACTGGCAATATCGGTGACAGAAAAATGATGAATGCTCCCATGTGCATCTAGCATTGCACATCCAATGAAACATTTGCTAACACATTCAAACAAAGAGGCTAATTGTGTATGCACCGTTGCTAATAATTTCATGCTTGGCCAAATAGAAGGTAACAAGTTGAGTTTTTAAGATGTTCAAAATCTTTCAATTGCGAGATGCAGAGAAAATCCAGAATTTTGGCCTCTTCCAATTTGCTCAAAACCAGGCTTTGTTAAAACTAATCTTTGAAGAGAAACCAAGGTCTGCCCAAAAGAAGAGAATTAATTACAGAGAATAACTTTGCAGAAAAGAGATGGAGAAAAAGAGTACAAGAGACTGAAGAGCAAATATATGTCAATGAGATGCAGATACAAAAAATTTATACACATATATATGTTATAACAGATGCAGCGGAACAGAAGAACAAACAAGAACGGACAAGAACAACTTGGGGGAAATTAGATTTTATTTGGGTTGTAATCGGAATAGTTTACAGACTAAAATAAGGTGTATATATATACAATCAAACAGATTGGACCAAAAAATAGACCCAAAACAAGACCCGAAATAAAACAAACGGTAACACTTTATATGCGTGTGAACTTTAGATATATGCGTGTGATTCAAGGCATTTCAACAATATATGCGTGTGAACTTTAGATAGGAAAATCTCACCGGATCACTTGAAATCTCCTCCTCCAAGTAGATGCCTCTTTGGGGAGTGTATCGTTGTCTTAATAGAGGACACCGATAAACATCAACACAAGTTAACTTGGTGAGGCGTCTCATGTCGGCCTCGGGTGGTAAAGATTGAAGCTTTTGGCAAGACCGTAGCTTTAATGTTTCAAGGGACACAAGGTTTCCAATCCAATCCGGTAGCACTTCTATTCCTCCAAAGTTGAAGAGACTTAGTGAAGTGAGGGTAGTCCAGTATTGAAGCTGGTGTGGCAGGGACTCCGTGTGAGGTAACCCTTCTAAGCGAAGCCCACGGAGTGTTGATGCTGATCTTAAACCAGACCAATCAAAATCATCAATTGAGGAGTCATCTGAGGAGAAGGGACTGTTGATGCTCAATTTTCTTAAGCTGGCGGCAAAAGCAAATCCTTTGAAACTATGAGGAAGCAATTTGGGACAGTCGAGTAGGGCGAATTTCTCGAGAGAAGGCGTCTCCTGCAAATTAAGCGAAAACGACACTAGATTGGGGCACCTCATCACCGACAGGGACCGCAGAGACCGGCATGACTGGAACATTTTGTCGGATATAGTGGTCAAGCCTTCGCAATTATCAATACACAAATTCCCAAGGCATGGTAGGGGGCATTTCTGTCCATTTACTCCTAGACTAATTAATCTTGGGCACCATCTGATGGCCAATTGCCGCAAACTCGATCCAAACAGATCCAGATCTGGCAGCTCCCTAAGATTGTCGCAAGAGTCGATCCACAAGTCCTCAACAGAAGCAGCGCCGTAACCCATTTTTTTTATACTTGTTAGATTACCGCAATTCTCCACGTATAGACTTTTACACGAGCATGCAACAGTGGTCAGTTGTGGGCAACATCCAATGTAAAAATCCCTCAGCATGGGAAAGACATCTGCTTCTGCTTCACCTACCGTTGACCTCGCTTGCTCTGCATCCTTCCACTCTACCAATTTCTCCATATCCCTTACATGGAGTACTTCAAGGGCAGGAAAGAATTTTCGTCTTCTAGTGCAGCTCCCTGATGCTCGTGATCTGCCCTCCTCCTCCTCATTAGTATTAATACCATATAATTCATCTCCAACAGATTGAATGTTGTCCAATCTTCTCAAAAAGAGACGTTTGAGGGATGGCAGTTGCCCTAACGAGGGGAGTTCACTGCATCTCTTGCAGTCATCTATCCACAATGCCTCCAATTTTGACAAATTGATAAGCCATTGTGGAAATTTATTACCCATAAAAGAATGAATTCCCAACCTTTGCAACTTTGGGTGAGGTTGGAGACCTTCCAACACATCCTCCTCACGGTTATCGCTTTCCCGTTCCCCACTCTTCCATTTAAACTCCAAGAAAGACAGATCTGGCTTTTCGAACAATTTTGCTTTTTTAGCCGCTTCTTTGCCCTTCACTAGTCCAAGATTTCTTATCTCCAACCATCCTTTCAGATATTTCAAGGTCCCAAGCTCTTCGATACCACGACCCCTCTCTTGACTTACATTAAAGAATCGCAGAGTTTGAAGACAAGTCAATCGTCCCATCTGCGCCGGCATTTTAAATTCTGCATCATCATGGTAATAGTTTAGATGTCTCAAGCTAATCAAATCACTCATCCGTTTTGGAAAACCTCCTTCAAGGTCACCAGCTCTCATTGTTAGTGTCTGCAAATTATATAGCTTGCAAAGAGATTCCGGCAAACTTCTGATTCTAGAAGATTTAATGTCGAGCAGCCGCAAATGTAGTAGTTTGCCAATGGAGCTCGGTAGAGACTCGACATCATATCCAGACAATTTGAGAACATGCAAGCACTTGAATCTTAAAAGCATGTCAGTAGATACGCCACCCTCTAGATGGAGAAATAACGTGCGAATTGATGCTGGTATTGTCCTTGTGGTATTTTCTGCCAAACCTTCAGAAGAGTTCAATGCAAGGTAGCGATCCTGATTGCTGCTTTTAGGATTGAGAATTGATTTTGCAAAATCATGCACGAGATCGTGCATTTTATAGTATGTTCTCCACGGCTCTTCGACTTTTTCCAGCAAGGAATTTTGCAACAAAATCCTCAAATACTCGCCTCCTCTTTCCTCCATCATTCCTGTGTTTTCCCGATCTGGTAGAACAAAACCTTCAGCAACCCAGTGCTCAATTAGTTCATCTTCTCCTAATTCAGTGTCCTGGGGAAAAATCGAGCAATATGCAAAACATTTCTTAACTGATGGAGATGATAAATGATCAAAGCTCACCTTAAGTATTTGATTAATTTGGCTTTGATATTCATTCAAAAGACTCTCCTGCACAATGGAGTGCCACTTCTCTCTTCTGTTGTTAAGCAACAAGCCACCAATCAAACTTGCCGCCAAGGGTAGGCCATCGCATCTTCTTAAAATTTGTTCCTTTAATGCTTCCAATTCTTCTGGTACTTCTTCCCCTGCACTCATCACCTTTCCTTTTATGATGGACCAGCACTCATCACCTGATAGCTTTCCTAAGAAATAAGGACGATCATTCATTTGCAAATGTCTAGGCACAGCATTAGCCACATATTCTAGACGAGTAGTGAGAAGACACCAGCTTCCTTTGGTTTCGTTGAGTCCCATCAAAGTGTTGAAATAGTCATCCCACAATCCTTGATCATGATCCCACACATCATCAAGAACAAGGAAATATCTTTGTCCCTTGAGCTTTCCTCGAATTTCTTGAACTATGGCTTCCCTACCATCCACTTCAACCTTTGTTTTTGTCAACGATTCTAAAATGAGTTTGAACAGCACCACTGTATCAATTTTTCTAGCCACACAAACCCAAATTTTTTGGCCAAAGTGCCCATCTATTTTTGGATTATTGTAGACTGATTTCGCCAGAGTTGTCTTTCCCAAACCTCCCGGGCCTGTTATGGGAATAACAGAAAGAACCTTTTCAGATGGGCTCGATAACATGTCCACAATCTTTGACTCGTCGCCGGATCTTCCTACAACGTTCGGAACGACAATAGAGTCGGTCTGTCTGGCACCAGCGGCATCAGCAGGGGGTTGATCAATTTGGTTGATCAATCCCAAGTGACCGGCTCCCTGGTTGATCCTCTCTAGGCTGGTGTTGATGTCTCGGATCTTTGAAGCCAAGCTGGAACTAAAGCCAATTGCATTAAAGAAGGAGAAGAAGAAGCATACCTTCTTCTTCATTGGTTGATTTCGGTACTTCACCTCCCGACGAAGATTGTCGTAGTTGAGCTCGTCTAGCACGGTATCAGCTTTAAAAACCTCATCTTCTAGCTGCTTGAGCCACTCTCGCACCCCTTGGGTATGCATTTTCCCGTCAGCATCAGCCAAGAAACCTTGGATCATTGCAGCAGTGTTGCTTAGTCTCTCCAACTCTGCTTTGACCTCCCGAACCATACCAATGCGGTCCGCAGCAATGGAAATAAGTGTCCCCAAGACGACCTCAACAGTAGCACTGATAACAGCGTCAGCCATTGTTTCTTGCTTGGAATTGGAACTAGGATCGAAAGGTTTGCTGATATCAGAGATGGAAGGAATGTTTCAGCAACAAATGGTAGAAATCAGAATAGAAGCCAGTCAGAATAAGAGAGAGATGAGTTAACGATTCCAGTGGGTTGATGTGTGAGATTCAGATTAATATAATTGTGATTAATCAAATTGTGTGGGGTCACTTCAAAATAATTTTAGCGCAATCTGATTTAGTCACTGGTGGGGGCCTTAATTGTGGAAGAACACCAACTAATTGTCATTGTTTTTGTTGAATGTGAAACTGATTTGAATCTTCGTGTGATTTCTTATCCATCTAAAAGTATTAATTAATGTTAGTGTATTTGTTTTTATGAGTCAGTAGGTAACTAAAATAATAAATTTGTTGCTAATCAGACAATCTTACTATATATACGAAGTCCTTAAAATATGATCATAGTTTGCCACCCAATACTAGTTGGAAAAAAAAAATCAATTATTTCATGTCATATGCTGCCTTACGAGTATATTACTCCAACTAAAAGAACCGGCAAAAGTTGTAGTAAGGGATTATGCCAAGCCATTAATTGGTGATAATCTGATCATAGTTGTAAGTGATTAAGATCAGTACTAAGTGCAGCATAAATTGATGTCTACGATGATTATCCAACATGTTTAAACTTTGATCTAAATGCAAATTAACGAACTTTCCTAGAAATGCATACGTCATAATCTCTTATCCTACTTGTCCAGGATTGTTAGATATTATTGAAGAGGGATAATTTTGAAAAAAAATTATTGAAGCCGTACAATTATTCATATAATCAGGTAGAAGACCAAGAATAAGCTATCAAAGCACAATCAAATATCCAAGAAACAACTAAAACATGTGAAATTTTAAATTTAATTCATTAAGGAATTTTGAAAATTCATATGACAAAAATGAATTCCATCATATACCCCATGCCAATGTATCCATAATACTATGAAGGAGCTATGAATAGAAGAGGAGGTTACCTGATCTTGAAGCAAAAAGAGGGCACCAATAGTTTCTCTATTTTCTCCAAATATTTGTTACAAGTTTGGTTTACAAATAAATATATGTTGCATGATTTGCTAAAGAATAGCTGTATGAAAGCTTAGACCAAATTTTGTCGGCCGTGACAATACTAAGTGACAGATTGTCAACCTGTGCAATAATAAAACCTGCTCAAACTAAAAGTAATTTCTGTAGATAGTGGTAAGCAGGGTCGAATCCACAGGGACTGGGAGTAATTGTTCCTTTTCAAATTCACAGTGACAAGAGGGGTGTTTTTATATCAGGGGTGACAATTTAAACAATTCAACTAAAAGTAAAATAATAAAAATAAAATAGCCAACTAGAAATTAAATAACAATTTACTAAAATCTAATGAGTGATAATTAAAGATCTAGCCAATGAATAACTTCAGCAATGATTCACCTAATTGATCATCGAAACAAAGGCAATTCCAATTATTTATCAATAAATAGGTTATAACTACCAAACAAGCGATGGCAGTCAACCCCTCCTTACTGTGTCGGTGATTAAGGTACGCCCGTTAATCACTGCTCTAATTGAGAAATAATCCTAGGTACGCCCGTAAGATTTAATTTTCCTATTGCCTTACGTATTAGAAGAGCCCTATTCTAACCAAATAACGCACTACCAGGGTTATTTTAGATTAGCCCGCGTATTCCCCTGACACAAATCTAATCATGCCAGTTGTCACTATTTTGAGGTAATTAAACAATTACGGATTTAATACCTCAATTGACAATAGATTATTAAATTAACTAATTATCCGGATCCAAAACAATTAATTAATTAAACAACCATAAGCACTGCAACCAGGGAATATGCAAATACCAATAAATAAAAGTAAAATATAAAATTAAATGGATCTCACAATTTTTAAGCGAGCCAAAGCCTCCGTTGTTCCTTGACTAGACAAAGGGATTTAATTCATCCCTTGTCTACTCCTATCGAAAATAAAAGAAAAGTAGCAACTCCAGATGAAAGGAAAAATCAAAGGCTCCTCCATCCCCGCAGTGCTCCTGACTTGCGCAGGAGCAACTACTAAAAGACGGAAAACGGCCAAGTCAAAGTGTAAAGCCAAATTCCCTAAAGTAGTGCTAATTCCCTCTTTTTACATACGAGAATTGAAAATTAAGCCAAAAGCCCACAAGAGAAAAGTCAACAAAAGCAATCCAAAAGTGACCCTTCTCTGCGGCGGCCCACCAGCAAGAAGAAAACCCTCCAGCCGTCCTAGCCTTTGCGGTAATTACCAAATTGGGTTTCAGTGTTCCTTTTTCAAAAATGCCCCTGGGATAAGCTCTATTACTTGGACTCTTTTCTTGTTAAATTGGCACTTGTTATCATATTTTCGTTCTACTCCCTAAAATAAATGTAAAATATCAAAAGTGAGTAGAATCTAACAATTAATCCACATTAGGTCAGATAATAGGGGAAATTAATAATAAAATAAATGATAAAATTGCAACCTATCAATTCCCCCCACACCTAAACCATGCTTGCCCTCAAGCATGAGAACAACAAACAAGTACCAATATCTGACAATGGTCATTGCTCCATCTACCATATTGCCAAAATACCAAGAAAAATATATATCAAGCATGAGTGATCAAGATCCAAGAAACATCACTTCGGTTAGCTTCTAAACCACAAACTCTCCTAATAATTGACAGGTTGTCGAAACCTGTGCAATAATAAAACCTGCTCAAACTAAAGTTAATTTCTGTAGATAGTGATGAGCAGGGTCGAATCCACAGGGATTGGGAGTAATTGTTTCTCTTTAAGTTCACAGTGGCAAGGGGGGTGTTTTTATCTCAGGGGTGACAATTTAAGCAATCCAACTAAAAGTAAAATAATAAAATAGAATAGTCAACTAGAAATTAAATAACAAATTACTAAAATCAAACGAGTGATAATTAAGGATCTAGCCAAGGAATAACTTCAGCAATGGTTCACCTAGTTGATCATTGAAACAAAGGCAATTCCAATTATTCACTAATAAATAGGTTATAACTGCCAAACAAGCGATGGCAGTCAACCCCTCCTTACTGTGTCGGTGATCAAGGTATACCCGTTAATCACTTCTCTAATTGGAAAACAATTCTAGGTACGCCCGTAGAATTTAATTCCCCAATTGCCTTACGTATTAGAGGAGCCCTATTCTAACCAAATAACGCACTACCAGGGTTATTTTAGATTAACCCGCATATTCCCCTGACACAAATCTAATCATGCCAGTTGTCACTATTTTAGAGCAATTAAACAATTACGGATTTAATGCCCTAATTGACAATAGATTACCCAATTAACTAATTATTTGGATCCAAAACAATCAATTAATTAAATAATCACACGCACTGCAAATAAGAAATATGTGAATACTAATAAATAAAAGAAAAAGATAAAATTAAATTGATCTCACAATTTTTAGACGAATCAAAACCTCCGTTATGTCTTGACTAGAAAAGAAAATTTAGTTCATCCCTGATGCGAAAAACTCGCACAAAGGTGAAGAGAAAGCAGCGGCCATCGTCTTTCAAAATTGGGAAAATTCACTTCGTTTGAGCAATCGAGGAAAACGAAAACTACAGAGGAAAGTTCAATGCTTCCCCTTTGTCCTAACATCCGAGGGAAGCAAAGTACTAAAAGACAAAAAGGAAAAGTCAAAGAAAGCAACTAAGCTCCTGACATGGCAGCAGAGGTCCTAGTCAAAACTCAAAAGCCTCCAAGGGCAAAAGGAATCCCAAGCTAAGCTCCAGCCGTCCTCTCCTCTGCACACTTTTTCTAATTTCTATCTACTGTCTACTGTCTACTCTAATGCTTGCGCCGGCTCCCTCCTCTGGAGAGGAAGAAGTGACACCCTAACCCTTCGTTCCTTTCCTCCTTTTATGCTGTCTTTCGTAAATTATCAAAAAAAGTCGCGCCTTGATATTCTAAAAATACCCCCGGACGCCTGCCCTTTGAGCGCTTTCCTGATAATCATCAAATTGGTTCTTATTATAGTATTTTCGATCTACTCTCTGAAATAAATATAAATTATAAAAAGTGAATAGAATCTAATAATTAATCCATATCAAGTCAGGTAATAGGAAAAATTAATAATAAAATAAATGACAAAATTATAACTTATCACTAAGCTGGGTCAATGGAGGCGGCCATCGGCTGTTCCGGTAGAATACTTGAAAAGACATCCGGGGGCCTCGACCAGTGTAGTGCCGTGCAGTGCTTCAATTCAATGGGAAATTTGGATGCTTTTGCAATGGAAGTTGCTTGGCATTTTCTTGGTTTTACAAATGACCACGCTGGGGTAATTTTTTTTTTTTGTAAGCAACTATACATTTGTATAATTTATTCTATCCTAATCTAAGGGGGAGGAGGAACCTAAGGAGGCTATAGTAGGAATTAGTGAGTATACAGACCCAACTAAATCAAGAGAATACTATAACATAACCCTTCGATTTTTTCGCTACAAGTGAGGTTCGAACCCTCACCTACAGCTCAAGGAGGGAGCCCACTGAGCCATTGGCCCAGTGGTTCACACTGGGGTGGTTACTCCATCTCGTTAGAAACCAGAGACCAAAAAGTTCTCCATTATTGTCAATGTTGTACCTATTTTGCGAGTTGGCCGCTTTTGTACACGATGATGAATGCGTTAAAAGAGTTGAAGAGTTGGCTGGTCTTGACCATTGGACCAATCATAATTGTAGAAGAGTTGCATTTGCTGAATGCAGGCATAAATTTTTCATTTTTGAAAAAAATGATAGTTTTAATTCTTAATATTCAGTTTTAGTAGGCATAAAGTTTTAACAAAAGCAATCGTGATCCTCAATATTTTGTACATGTGCAGTTTTAGTCCATAAAGTTATAGCAAGAGCAAGTCTGGTCCCCTTTATATTCAATTTAAAGCTGATTTAGGACATTTGAAGAATTTTATCTCAATTACTAACAAAATTTAGTCATGTCTAATCATGTGCCTATTAAATTAAATTCCAAAATAAAGAAGCAAAATAGTATCTTACTTTAAGCAACAAAATTAAGAACTAATAACTCATTTGTTAACTATTTAACTAGTAAAAAGAAGGAAAATTTTTAAACTAAAACTTCAATATACCAAGTTCATCGATCTAGAATTGATTTTCACTAACTATCTCTAGTGTCTCCAAGTAAAAAAAAAAAAATGTGATTCCTAATTTTTAGTATAGATTGAGAAATTTTCTTTCTTTTTTTCTTGAGTAATTAGTTACTAATGTGTTAGCATGCAAGTTATTCTTATTGTTAAAGATTACTCATTATTTTGATTCTCTTTTAAGAAGTTTTTTTTTTAAAACAAATATGTGATTGCACGTGACTGATTTGATTAATATTTAGAAAAATTTATCAATGGTCCTTAAAATGCTTCAAATTGGTGACATTGAAAATCGGATTACTCTTGCCAAAACTTTAGGGACTAAAACTGTACATATACTATACATTGACGACTAGATTTACTTTTTGCCGAAACTTCAAGATCTAAAATTGCACAGAGACTAAACAGTAAGGAGTAAAACTATAATTTTTTCTAAATTTCTAAACATTGGATATAGCGAATGCGTTCCTTGTTTAAAAACTTTCACGTTTTGGGAACTAGCTTCAAAAGGCAACCGAATTTGGAAATTTACTCGTAGACAATGATCTCCGTGTCTCGTTCATGAGGCTTAATTGGCCTAACAATAGAACGTGTTACAATGCAATTTTTCAAGCAAGAAAGGAAGTTTTTTTTTTTTTTTATATAGATTTTTTGGGGAATATAAAAAATATTTTTAATTTGAAAAACATGTAAAACACTTATGCTTGCCTTTGTGTCTCAGTAATCAGGCTTGTGATGTCAAATTACGTGAACTTTTATTTTTGAAAGACAAATTAAGAATCAATGGTATCTTGAGATATGAAGTACTTTGATTAAATTGTAAAATTGCTGAGAAGTGAGCCTTTTAAACTTACACACAACCAAGAATGTTGAGCTCACTTTCATGGAGCCTTTTAAAAAATGATGA